TGGAATCAACAAGCAGAATTTACATGATTTTCCAATAAAGTTACTCTAATAACATAGATATAATTATCAGTTTTACCACAGACTCTTTTAGCCACCCAAGGTTGCTGAGAATCAGGCGGCATAGAAGCCTAGTAAATTATTATTATTTTGTTCACAAGGTAAGGTTTAAAAATTCATCAGTTCATAAAGCATCTTTTCAACAATCTGTTTTATAATGCATCAAATATGTGAATCAAATGAAATTTAGTTTTTAAATAAAATTTAAAACTGGATGGATTTCTTTTGCTACACTGAAGAACATGTATTTACTTAAAATATTTATATCCCACTCTTCCTCCATATGGTTATCAAAGCAGTATATTCTAAAACAGTATTTATTTATTGTCTTTATATCCAACTTTTTCTCTGATAGGCTTACATAGGAGCTTCCTTTAATTTTAACCCTGTGATCTCAGTCTTGTGTGTGGGTTAGGCAAATAAAATAACTGACCCAAAGTCACCCAATGAACTCCATTATAAAACAGAGACTTAAATCGGAGTCACCCTACCCGGAGACCAATACTTTTATCATTGTCTCATTTTTAGAATAAACAAGCAGTTGCAAACACCAAAAGATGGAACAATGAAAATGTCAAGGAGGGCTCATAATACAAACATTGTTTTAATATTCTTTGTAAATGCTAGCAGTGAAGGAGTACTACTTTTCCAATAATTCAAGTCTGTCTCTATTCAAATATTTATTTAGTTATTATATTTTAAAATGGCATTCCATTAACAAAAGCATGATTTTGAATCTGCAGAAAGGCAGATCTGAATCAGAAGGGCTACATTAGGGAATCATTAAGAACATAATGAATTAAAGTAAGTGCAGCCTAGGGGCAGAATCTAGTCTTTGGAGAACCAAATGGCTTAAAGGAAAAATGATATTTTAATGCTGATGTCTTATTTTAATGGATAAGAATGTTAGTAAAATAGCAAACTGAGTATTGCTAATTGTGAGAACTGAATTCATAGTAAATCATGTTAGGTGTTGACCATACAGTATACAGTATGTAGAGAAAATATGCCCATGGTTGAAATCACACTGATTAAAAGTAGTTGGCTTTTTCAAATCTGAATTACTTCTGATTTTATCATTTCAAGAATAAATAAAAGCAGTCTAATTACCTTGTAATCTCATATACAGAACAGAGACACACATACATCCCACTGCAACAGAGAATTTAGCAACAGCACGAGAGATTATCAAAGTAATGTTTAAAATAGATTTTGATTTCAAAACAATCTGACCTCATCTTGAATGGTAAATAAAGATAAAGTACAGAGTGTATAAAAAAGTACAGGACAAAATACAGCACATTGGCTTTGTAAGCAGGATTAAAGAAATAGTGCCTGAGAAAATTAAGAAGTTACAATCAGACAGCCAATGCAAAAATAGGATGAGGTTTAAAACATAAAAGTGTACATTGGACATGGAATTTTGCTAGATCCATGAAACTTCCTTCTTGCAGCCTCTTCCATTTACTGTATTTCCTCTCTGTTGCTGAATTCAAAATTATGGCTAGAAGCTGTTCCCTTCAAATGTACTTACTCTGTTTCACTTCTCTAGTGAATATATTCTAGTATTTGTGAAACTCTTGGTCTGGGAATCATTTCTCATGACAAAATATCCAGGACTATCCATGTAAAATTAACATGAATGCAGTCTTACATGGACTGCTACACAATTGCCAGTCTCATTTGTCATTGATTTCCTGCACAGAAACAAATGAGAAGACAAGACTGTGTTTGGGATTTAAAATAATCATAGGCCAACAGTCCTGGCAACTAATATGACAGGACTGAATGTCTTTTTTTCTAGAAAGTCAGCCATACTTTAAACTTAAAGTCTTAGATTATGTGCTTCTAAACAAGTAATACATTACATATTTTGGTCTAATACAGACAGCATTAGTGGAAAAAGATATAATAGATTTGAAGGTAGTTTTTCGTGTTTCCCATTATCCTTAATATCTGTAATATACTAATTTTCCCTCCACAGTATTGAAAAGTACCACATAGTAGGTCAAACTATTTGTTCTTCTATCCCAATATTTTCTTTTTTAACGGAAAATGGTTCTTCTGGATTGCTTCTATTTTCCAGGACCTGATCTTTTAAGTAAAGAAGCCAGAATTGAAATTCCAATAGAAGAGAATATATATAGCTCAGGGTTGAACTGTGGAGTCCTTGGTGCTCCCTGAGCTTAGTTGTTTGCTTGCAGACATTTCATTACCCAACTAGGTAACACCATCAATGCAAATGAAGGTGGAGTTTTCTCCCTGTTTATATACAGTAGCTTGCCCTGCCAGTTTTGGTAGGGGTATGGTTTACCTCCTTGGTAGTTCCTTGATTAGGGTATTGTTTTCTGCCTGTTTGTCTAGCATAAATCCCTTCTTATCTGGGTGTTGGCTGCTGGAGAGGTTGTGTTCTGGGCTTTTTGTTTCCTTCTTCGTTTTTTTTAATTGTCTCTTTTGAATGGTGTGTAAATGTGGTTTATCTCTATG